AGTGTCATGAATAAGCCTACTCTTGTTTACTCTTGCATGTGGAAGCCGTTTCTGGGAATGTAAGCATATTGGATGGTTTGAAGAAAATGAAAATGCCAGTGGTATAAAACATAGTATCGAATATATTATCCTCCGTTGTAAACGTATCGGAGGTATGCTTCTATTCATCATTGTGCGGTTGTGTGATGCATATAGAGAGAGTCCGCATAGTCGTTGTCACGCGCATGTATGGAACGATTTGATGCGATTTTTTCATTGGTGACGCGATATAGGACCTACTTATATATATATATATATACCGGTATCAGACACACTGCGACAAAAAATAGAAGATCTTCTTTTATTATTTTGATGGGACGGACGTCGCAGAAGACAGACAAACACTAAACTGAGGCCCAATATAAAACGGAACATATCAAAAAATATAATATATTTATTGATGGCAGTAAAAGGTGTATTTGTACGTGACGGAAGTTATTGCGTGAAATGTGTGGAATTTTTTTTTATCCGATATATTATATCGTCTAAAGCGTTAAGGGATATATATTACATACCGGTATTTTTTTCAGTCATCTTCATGGAAAAAGACTGCATTGCTTCACCTATACGTGTACGGACTGACCGCCAGAGATGATGGTGGGCCGCGAACCAACAGACGGAAGTACACGTACGTGTAAACGTACACTGTACGTGTAAACGTACGTATGAAAAATGGGATGCAGATCTTATAAACTATAATTGTAAGGGGTAGGGGCTGCAAAGTGGGGGGGAAACTTTGCAGACATAACGTGCCGTAAAGGCTTGAAAACCAATAAAAAAATTAAGACAAACGACCTCCACGTGGAATGAATGAATCACTCGGTCGTCAAAACTTGGTTCTGTGGCTCAACATTCTTGGATTCTGGGTATGTGCTGTCCCGATTGGTGCTGTTTTGACCTTTGTCGTTGACATGGGTGTGAATGGACTCTGGTGGGGATTCAATATTGGAATCTATACATCCGCGGCGGTGGGGATTTGGTTCCTCAAGTTCCGCATAGACTGGGAACAAGAGACCAAGAAGACTGTCGATCGCTTGTCGACGTTGAAAAAGTCAGACGAAACGAAGAGCGGGTCAACAGAGCCAACTGAAAAGAGAGACGAATTGATCGACGAACCGAAAGAAGAGGCGATGTTACAAGAAGTGCAAAACTGCTAGAATGCTAGAATGCGACTGCATACATGTGCATCTACACTATAAGCAGGACATAGACTGGGAGTACTTCTACTCTTGTTTTATTATCTACTGACGTCATATTTTATTGTATGTTTTCTATGTCAATTCTAACCTCATATCTTCGTCTTTTACTATCCTCTACTATTCTAATCTAATGATACACTCTGTCATTTTAGGCTGATTGTGCCAAGACTATCATGCGCTCGGCTCCCATGACTGAGGAACTAGGCAAGTTTATGCTTCCTTCATCAAAGATGGCACGCAAATCAGCGAAGCGTTCCACGCATTGCTCAAAGACATCTCCTTCCATCCAGGAATCGTGCAATTTGGCAATTTCTTCAATTGAACTGAATTCTATTCCAATTGAAAGAGGGTGTAGTTCTTCAAAATGATACGACTGCGGACATCATCATCGATCATGCTATCATGTGAGGAGTACACAAAACCCATCTGCAAAAGGTTGGCCATGAGTTCGGCAAGACGTTTGGTTTCAATCCGTTTGAAAACCATTTTCAATTCAGCATCTTCTGGAATGTTTTCACAGTAACCTTGAATGGGAAATTTGAATTGGCTTTCTCCACTGAGTTGTTCGTTCAGGCTTTGCCATGGGCAACTGTTGTTCATCTTGTTGGAGTGGTGTAGCATGTTGGTTTATGAAGTACGATGCAAGTTTTTAGATTTTGTGAGAAGCAACAGAATTTGGCGGTGAGTCAATATAAATGGTTTGGATATTTTGTCTGCTGACATTGCTGGAGCGTATTTGAACGCGCCTTGTGCTGAGAAAATTTACACAGTACTTGGACCCAAGTTTGGAGACCTTGAAAGTTGCACTGCTATTGTGGAGAAAGCACTCTATGGATCAAAATCTTCTGGGTTCTCATGGAGATCTAAGCTTTCTAAGACTCTGAGAGAAGAAGTGGAGTTTGAACAGTGTTGTGGTGATATGGATGTTTGGAGAAAACCCGCTTTGAAGTCAAACGGCAAAAAATATTTCCAATATAATTTTGTTTACACCGATGACCTGATTGCTGTTTCTGAAAATCCTTGTGCTATATTGAAGAAGCTTGGAACACATTACATGCTCAAGCCTGATTCAATTGCAGAGCCTACAACATTCCTTGGTGCAACAATTTCAAAACATTTTGTTGATCCAAGTGATTCTCAAAAATGCTGGTCGATTGGTTCAACTATGTCATTAAGTCTCAAATCTCACATAAAAAGTACAACTTGATTTTGAAAAGAAAAGTGTCTGCTGCCTTACCTTCCAGTTACAAGCCTGAGCTTGACAACACTGATTTTGTTGACACAGACACGCACACAAACTGTACATGCAACTGATTGGAATATTACCGTGGTCAGCTGAACTTGGAAGATTGGACGTTTGTGCTGAAGTCTCAATGATGTCTTCATACAATGCCATGCCTCATGTTGGACACTTCCATGCGGTATTACACCTTTTTGGTTATCTTGAAACACATCCAAGCCGCAAGATTGTCATGGATTCCGCATATATGGCCCTGACCAACATACCCAAATCAGAATGGTATGAGTTCTATCCATGGGCAAAAGAAGTATTGCCTCCTGATATGCCAGAAGCCCTTGGAGGAGCAGTAAAGATTGTAATGCTTGTTGATGCCTAACATGCTTCCGATCTTGTTACACATCAATCCAGAACAGGTGTTCTCATCCTCTTAAATCATGCACCTTCAGTTTGGTATTCGAAGAAACAGAATGCTGTTGAAACAAGTTCTTTTGGAAGTGAATTTGCTGCGTTGAAGACTGGTGTTGAATTGGTTGGACGTCTAGTATACAAATTGCAAATGATGGGCATACCAATTGATGGCTATTGCCATACTCTTGTTGATAGCAACTCTATTGTGATGAACACAAGTTGCCCGGGATCTGTCTTGAAGAAGAAATGCAATTCTGTTGGATATATTAGGATTTTTGAATTACATACTTGGAAAAACGAGAAAATGAGAATACATGTGAACAATAGAGAAATCACACCACTTCTCTGACCTTGCATGATTGCAAATCAAACCCCATTGCTCTTCTGGAACACGTGTTGTAGATGGTGTCTGTGTTGTAGCCGGCATAGTTACCTTCTTTGGCTTCCATTTCGCCCTC